CTCCACCAATAACCACTTGGAGGTCTCACATTAGCAGTTGGACTTCTCAGATCATCTTATTGATAACTCTTCTTGTCCTTCAAAAAGACTCTTTGCAGACTTCCTCTTCACTATATTCTCCAACAATTTCAGCAAGGGCTAATTCCTAGATGAAACTCTGTATTCCTAGATGAAACCACTGCATTTAGGACTATTATATGCAAGGAAGAAGTGTATGAATAAGGATAAAATAATTTTGATCATAAAACTAACAAAATATTACAATAACAGTGAAAATGTGGTAGATCAATATACTGAGGTAAACTTTGAAGGTTTCTCAATATATTTGGGAAATTGTTAAATCACCAATTTAATGAAAATTCTAATGAATCAATTTTCTATATGAATTTCTCAGGAAGGTGCAATATAAATGGTAATTTTAATGAAAAGGTAAAACAAAAAATAATACAAAGACTTTTATTAGCCCTAAAGGATTCTGTAAAGAAGGGAGAAAAAAGAGATACAATAAAACCTATCAATATTAATAATTATGTTAAATTTATGTGAATTAATTACTCAAAATAGAAAGGCTATAAGAGTCAATATTAAAGAAAAAGACATAATTTTAGTTTTTTTTTATAAGCAACAAAACATAGAGGATATAGACAACAGAGGTATGGAAAAGATGCAGCATGCAAATGCTGTTAAAAAGATGCTATGTGGCTTTGTCAAGAATTTGAGGCAGCCAGGAGCAGTGTCTCACATTTGTAATCCAAGCTGGTTGAGAACCTGATGTCAAAACCATTGCCAGTCTGGGAATAAAAAAATTTGTGAGACCCCATCTCAACAGAAAAAAGGCAAGTGCAATGGTGCCTGACCATCACCACAGCTACAGGAGGAATCATCCTTCATACAAAGGCCAGAAAATAGTCTTGATTATAACAGACTGGACATTGGGGTTGCAGTAAACTGGAGTAAATGAACTTTGACATAACCCTGATCTTCCACTAACCTTCTACATACCCTATCTCCCCCCAAAATTTCTTGGTAATATACCTAGGATTTATGAATCTACTCTAGATATCACTTATCTTCTCATTCCTTCACAGGTCTGTTGCTCTGTCTTGAAAGTATAAACCGTCATTTCTTCAGACTTCACTCTCTTAAAAGAACCCAAGGAGCATTTAAATTCAAGAAAAATTTCCATTGTGTCACTCTTATATTAATTGGGTTCCTAGATCCAAAGAGTCCACAGAAGAACCTAGGTGTTCTCTCCTTTCTCTTTAGATTACAGTCTATCTTTTGAAAACAATTCTTAAAGTTTTGATGAAGAGGTTTTAAATTCTTTGTAATGACTGCAAATGTAATAATATAACTTTATTTCATTATCTTTCTATTTGTGGCTGTGACTTTTAAGAAAATATACATGCACAATTTTTCTCAATAAAAAATGTTAACAGTTCTTGGGATGATGACTAAAATAAAATTTTCTTCCATATTTATTTTAGAAATAATCAAGCTAGATCATTTATCCTCAGACAAAGAGAGGGAACGGATAGTAGTTTTAAATACCTTGAAGCCTGATGTTGAAATCAAAGCCAGGGTTAATACCAGGATCAAACTATAAGAATATCATCAACTTGTATATTTTGAAGCTATGGGCTTATCTCCCATCCTAGCATCTATATCTATGATTGGAGAAAGTTTAATAAGCTGTATACTGCTTCTGCTAAAAAGAATGAAGACATATGCCACAGACCATGTTTGCAAATCACACATTCAGTAAAGAATTTGATAAAGAATTTATCTCCAAACCATACAAAGAATTCTTAAAGAAATCAATGGGGACAAAATTTGAGAAGATAACTAATCAAAAAAAGATATATAAATGACAAGAAGGCATATGGAAAGATTCCCAATGTCATTCATCATGAGGAAAATTCTAATTGAATCAACAATGATATATTGTTGTACACCTCCTTAGAATAGTTAAAATGCAGAAGACTGACAATAGAATTGCTGGCAACTCTCCACAATGTTGAAAACTCTCAGTTATTTGTGGTGAGAAACACTTTGTAAAACATTTTGTCAGTTTCTTATTAAGCTAAGAATAGTCTCAGAATGTGATTCATTCTTTGAATTCTGAGTTATTTATTCAACTGATTTTAAAATTTTATAAAAACACAAACTTCTGCACCCAAATATCTGTAATAGGTTTACTGACAATTTTTCTGTATTTAACTTTTTCATAATTTTACCCGAATTCTAAGAAAACAAAATATTCTTCAAAAAAATGATTGGATAAACTGTGCCTCTTCTGTACACTGACATTCTATGCAGTCATATTAGGGAATTAAATATCCAAGAAGTGAACTGAATGAATTTTAAAAACACATCACTAACTACAAAGGCCAGTTTGCAAACACAAGGTACTGTACTATCCTATTTATATGACATTCTAGAAAAACAAAAACTGTTGAGATGAAAAAAAAAATGTATAAAACACATTAGTTGTTTCCAGAGGTTTGAGGAGGGGATAGAGTTAAATAGAAGACACATGTGTAGTATTTTAAGTTGGGGAAACTATTCTTTGTAAATATTGTAGCAAGGGGTACATAATCCTCTGCATTTATAAAAATCCATATAACTTTACAACAAAAGGGGTGAATCTTATTAACAGTTTTAAAATATATTAACTAAGAAGAAGGGCTATGAAATGAGAACTATTATAGATTCTATCTATACTGAAAATCTACAACATAAACTCACTGAAGGATGTGGAGAAAAAAGTTACATAAGTGACTTTACAAATGAGTGGAATCTATAGAAGGAAAGGTGTAAAAGCTATTGATATGTACTGTATTGTTTTTAGTAAAGCATTGTCCTGGGGGTTATAGGTTAGGAACCTCAACTCACTGTACATACTTACTGGGACTGTACAACTAAGTACATGGAATACATATTTTTTACTTTTGGAATGAGACATTATCAGGGAAGAAAGCTAGTATGTACTCTGAATTAGAATCATTATGAATTCATATTTAGCTAAATATATACACAACAGGGTGGATGAATACATAGATGATAGTAAATAGATGATATGATAGGTAGAAAATCATACATATGTGTGAATTCAACGTTATTATGGACACATATAATTTCTTGCTCTCTTTCCACTCACTGAGAAGGCCAGAAGTGATGAAAACACAGTAGCAATGGGTGCCTACAGTTTTCAGATCTTGGTGACTAATACCAACCCTGAATAAATGGATCCTTGGGGGAAATGACTTATTATTACCTCCATCCTCCACACCATAACCTACTTGCTTCACACCTATATTGGTTCCCTCCATGTCTGCTGTATTATGTACCATAACAGAATTAGCTTTTTTTTTTTCTACCCTGGTGCTAGGGATCTAACCTAGGTCTCTGTTCATGCCAGGCAACTGCTCTACCACTAAGTCTCCACACCATTTTCGGTCATATTTGGGCAACATGGAGGACAAAGTGAACTACAACCATCAGTCAGTTGCCATCACAATATTGCACTACCTTTGTTTTGTGTACATCCTGACTCTCCTAGGCGGCACAGCTGTGCCTCAATGGCATGTTTCTCTCCACCTATAAGCATTAGAAAACTGTGGCCTTTATTCCCACTCATTCCTTTCTCCCAGGTGCCAGTGAATTGTTGTGATAGGGAGTAGGGGAAAGTTGTCAGTACACATGGCCCACTCCCATGGCATTTGTTTGGGGGTCCCTCTGACCACAGAGAAAAAGATAAAAACAAAAAACGGAAAGAAAAAAAAAAAAACTGTTCTTACATGTTTCATGTTTTCAGGATGGACCCTTTCTTGTGCATACTGTCTATGATCAGATAAGCATACTTATTAACAACTTTATCATTAATAAGGGGGATATTTTCACCTATACTTTCTCAACTTTCTTGTCTGCATCTCAGTTGTTTTTCAACCAGTCTGCACAAGAATGATTTTTTCTTGGGTTTTATGGAATCCACACATCCCTTAAAGATAGTCACTCTAGAGCCCTAATTATAGCATATGGTAATAACAAGCATTTAAATATACCTTTCATAACCATCTACTTGGTCATTAGCACCTAATGACTTCATAAGTTCTTCAATTAACACGTTGATCTCATTCACATTTATTACTCCCCCTTTACATATGAAGATTTCATTTGGAGACCTCTACAGAAACTATAAAGTGAGGCAGGGGTGCCCAAATGAGGCAGGGGTGGCACTAGACCCTTCTTCTTAGTTTCAAGACCTCTCCTTCCTCTGCCACTCAGTGCCATTGTACTAGTTCTTGTTTGAATCTCTCATTTGCACTATTAATCTGAGTGATAAAGGATGTTTCACCTTAGATTAACTCTCAAACAATCACTTTTCTACATTCTCTAGAGTTTACCTTACATCTCATTGCTCTGCTACAGAACCTGTAATTAGTCTTACCTTCTTAATGTTCACTCAAGGATATCTATAATGTGAGTAACCTTAATGCGAGGACTCTGTTGCTTTTACTGCCCTCCCTGTCCCTGTGAACAAAGTGCTCTAATCATATTGCATTGATTTTCACAGTAGCCATTTTGGAGCAATTTTATGAAAATCTTTTATGCATACTGCTGCTATTAATGGCTTTGCATTTATCAAAGCCAACTTCAAACTCACTTCCTTCTTTAAGCCTGCCATGTGTACCTGGTTGAAATCATTTATCCAACTCTCCTCCTACAACAAAACCTTTATTTTATTTTATTTTGCAGGTTTGGAATGGAAATTTATTTTAAAATACCCAGAGGTTGGCAACAGTGCTAGACCCAAGCTATGCCTCTCTCCAGGCCACAGGTGCCAGGTATCTGGCTGGTTACCAAAGTCACTGTCTTATGGATAACGCAGTTCATAAAACTGAGTAATAAACTTTATGAAGAAAGTGAGGACTCCACGATCCTTAGGCCCATCTTACTGTCCTCAGGGTCCTTGGAGGGTCAGTTTTCCCATGACTGGGTCAGGCTGTAATGAAATGCCCATCTCCTGTCTTCTGTCTCCCAAGAAGGGAGTGGCTGTGGCGTGGGTAGAGAGACCACACACTGATGTGCTGGTCCTTGGACCCTGCGGCCAACAAGCCATCGGTGGCAAAGGCCAGCACAGCCAGAGGCTTCATTGTCCACCATTGAAATACCCGGATGCGCTGGTCCCAGTCTGCAGTGGCTAGGATCTTTTGGTCTGGCTGGATTGTGACATCAGCAATCCCAGGATTGGTGAGTTCATGAGTGCTGCACACTGACTGTCTCTGAGCTATGCCCAAGCACTGTCCTAAGCAGGTAGCCTGCTGGTCTCTGCTGTGGTCCCTGGCTGAGCCCTGGTCTGGGCCAGGACCCTCCAGGAAGGATCTCTGGCCACCAGTGGCTCTGAGAGCACATGACCTCAGGTGCCAGGAATGCGAGGAACAGCCGCCATCTGGTTCTGATTACCCACGCTCTTCTGTGGGGAACCTCATCCACATCTGTGCTCCCAGCCTCGCCTACAGGGACTGCTGCCCATCCAGGCTTCAGACAGCCAGTGCCTTCCCCGCAGAGCCCGAGATGCCCCTGACCTTCTGGGAGTCGAAGTCAAGGGCCATGATGGGTTCCTCGTGGCAGGTGACACGGCTGCACACCTTCTGTTCCAAGATGTACCACGGGGCCACTGATCCATCCTCATACCCAGCTAGAAGGAGGGGGCGGGGACTGGAGTTGGCCTGCCACAGCCCCAGGCACATGGGCATGCCTGGCTTGGCGTCTGCGTCGGGCTTCAGGGTGCACACTGACGTCTTGGATGGCATCTCCAGAATCTGAACCTCATCAGTGCCCTTCCCTGGCATAGCAAGTGTCCAGTGCAGTTGCCCATAAGCCAGGACAGAGCTCCTGCAGAAGCCCACACTCTCTAGGTGCACGGAGTCCACAACAGTGTTCGTGCCCTCTGTCAGGTCCCACAGACACAGTCGCTGGTCCCGGCCCTGACTGAGGAGCTGGGAGCCCTGGGGCAGAAACTGCAGCCAGGTCACACTCTGACCCCCATGGCCATCCAGCATGGTGACTGCTTTCCGAGTCTGCAGGCTCCAGATCTGTACCAAGCTACTCTGAGACCCTGAGAAGAGGAGTGGGCACTCCTGAGCCTGGGATCGTCTGCTCAAATGCACTGCGTTCACTGCTGACTGCATGCCTCGGAGGACAAACTGGGGGTCTGGTGGTGGGGGTAGAAGGGGATCTGCCATGCTGGGCAAGCTGCAGTCACCTGAGGACCAAGGAAGGACATGTGAGTGACAGAGCAGTTGGTCTTCCTCCAGGAAGGCAGGCTAGGCAGAAGTGTTTGGGATGCTTCTCTGCTGAGTGCCCCTGGCCTTCTGTTCTGTGGGGAGACTCTCTGATCCCCAAAAGTGTTAAATGGCCCTATGGCTATAGAGGAGCCAGCTCCCTGCATAGGCTGTAGGGGCTCCACAGGGAGTGTGGAGCTTTCTTTCTTTCCCCCACTGCTAATCTCTCTAGTGGATGATCCCACTAGGCATCTGGGAGTCCTCCCTGTCCCCCATCCTGTATATCAATCAGCTTGTGCACCTTACTGGCACCACCAAAATCTCCACCTGGACAGACATGGTGATACCTGGCCACTCTGGCCCTGGGTTCCCTGTGTAGAGCCCTATACTGCCTCTAGGGCTTCCTGTCCATTGTTAGTGACATTTTTTTGCTGGAGGCTGGAGGTGTGATTCAGCAGTAAAGCACTTTCATAGCACATGTAAGGGGTTTAATCCCCACAGCATGAAAAAAAAAAAAAAAGAAAAGAAAAGAAAAACTTTGCTTGAATTTAATTCAGGGCTCTAAACTTTATATAATGGAGGAATTTTTAGCCCTGGGTGAGTTCTATGACCAGTGAGGACACAGATGGCAGAGCACAGATGGAGCCAAGACTGAGGCTAGGAGACCTCAAGCTACAGGGATTAGAACCAGAAGGTGACTCTGTAACCTGAGTGGGGAGATGAGTCAATGGGTAAAGAAGAAAATACAAGAGATAAATTTTTGGCACCTCTCTGTAAAACATTGTCCAAACATTGTACATATATTAGCTGTCACCTCGCCTTCTAATCCTGAAAACAAATGACAACAAACATTCTTGAATTTTTATCTCCTTCTTACAGACTAGGAAACTGACACAGATCTCCATAAGATAGGCCTCTCTGCCAAACAGCTTGACTGGAGAGTGATGGAAAGAATTAGGAGAATCCAGCAAGAAGACAGATTGAGGTGGCTAGATATGGTTCCCACGTGAAAAAAATAATCAAGCCACATTCCTACTCCTTACCTGCATGAAACAAGTGAGGAAATGATAATTTACTTCTATTGTCATGGATGATAGAATCATCTTCCTATGAAATATATTTTTAATAGTTTTGTTGTGATATAATGGCCATACAATAAATTTCATACTTTTGAAGTATACATTTTGGTAAGTTTGGACATGTGTATACAATGGTGAAGCCATTACCAAGGCCACAATTCCTTTTGTCTCTTATTAACTCTCATCTCTCCTTCCCACATCTCATCCCTAGGCAGTCACTGATCAATATTGACAACTCACATTTTCTTGAATTCTATCCAGTTAGAATTATACAGCAGGTATTCCAATACTCTGTTTCTTTAACTTTGTGATATTAACTTCTTTTTAAATTTTAACTTTGTTTGTTCCTCCCATTGATTAATTTATACTTGTAAGATTTTAAGATGTCCTCTTTAGGGCTGGTGATTTTTTTTGTCTCTCTGAAACTTACTTCTCTGATACTAACACAGTAACTGGAACATTTTTCTGATGAGGGTGATATATGTTTTTTTCCTTGTACTTTGAATCTTTCTTTGTCTTTGTATCTAAAATGATTCCTTTGTAGGCAGCACATAGTGGCAGCTTAGCATTTTATCCAAACTTATTGCTTTTCTCTTTTACATGAGATATTTAGACAATTTAAATGTAATACTATTATTCTGATGATCTTGCTATTTCTTTTCACTTCATTCCTTTTTTTCTCCTGTCTTCAATGTTACTCTATCTACTATCTTCTGAATTAAATGAATAGGTCTCATGATTTCATTTTTATTATTTTCTTTTTTATTTATTTCACTTGAATTATTGACTATCACACTTTATTACTTTATTTTAAATGTTGTTTAGTACTTATGAAATATACATTTACCTTATTACCATGATCCTTTAAGTGATACTACCACTTCACATATAATATGAAAACTTAATCACAGTGTGCTTTCATTTCTCTCATTTTGGCCTTTCTATCATTGTTTCTCACTAATATTATTTTTGTTGTTGCTCATTATTTTATTTCTGCATTTGTTACAAAACATACCACACAGTCCATTGTTACTATTCTGCTTATCTTTTAAAGAAAGTTAATATTTTCTAAATCTCCACTATGTTATTTCCTTTTTATAGCCAAATGCTCCATTGTATGTATTAATCATGTTTTCTTTATCTATTAATCAATTGATGGATATTTGTGGTGTTTGCATATTTTGGCTATTTTAATAACGTTACCAGAAACATTCACATACAAGTTTTTGTAAGAAACTATATTTTCATTTCACCTGGATGTCTGTCTATCTATCTATCTATCTGTCTGTCTGTCTATCTACCTATCTATCATCTATTATCTTACTGATCAATTGCTTGCTAGATATGAATATAGACACAGATACAGGTGCAGACACAGATACAGATAGAGGTACATGCCTGAAGATGGATGTGCTGGGTCACAAGGTAAACCTATCCCTAACTTTTGATCTGTCACTGCACAGTTTGCTCTCATTGACATTCTGAGTACCTTTCTAAATTCAGCTTCAGCCATGCTTTATAAGGATTGAACAAGCACTAACATTTCTACATCACAAAGCACATTACTAGGATTCCTATAACCTCCTTTAAGTGTCTGCCTGAGTACATTAAGAGCTGCCAAAAGCATTACTGCTTGTTCCAGCAAACTCCTGAAGGTCAGCCCATCTACCAGTGTCTCTGGCAGGTCAGGAACTAGTATTGGGAAGAAGCAATAGGCAAACCCACATGGCTTCCACATGGAACATACCCCTCCTGCTTTTATAGCTTTTCATTTGTCTGACTTTACTCTGGTTCCTGCTGTCTTCTCTCCTTACTGCCTCCTTTTTTTCCTTTAACACTCCCAGTCACCTCTGTGCAAATCAAAGCCATTTGTTCCCATTCAGTTCATGTTGGGTGTTCTTTCTTCCTTATTGCAATAACATATTTCTGATTAAAATATGTCTTTACAATTTAACTAATATCTAAGCTAGCTCATGCTGTCATAATAAACACCACAGACAATATGGTTTAAATTACAAACATTTATTTCTCACATTTCTGAAATTTTAGAAGGCCAAATTCAGGGTGCTGGCATAAGTGGAGTCAGGGTTGCAGATGACTGCTTTCTTGTATCCTCACATGGGAGAAAGGGCTCTTTGTGTCTTCCTCTTCTTATAAAACCACTAATTCCATCACCATGACTCTACACTCATGAATTTCTCTAAATAGAGTCACCTCCAAAATGTCCAACCCAAATATGAATCACATTGGGGAAAAGGGCTTCAACATATAAATTTGGGAGAGGAGAGGAGGAAATCTACTTTTGGTCTATAGAAAATAATGTTCTGCTGTCTTTTTGACACCACCAAGAGTTTATGAAGCATCAATGTTTCCATCTACTCTCAACACTTGGTACTAACTGACTTAATTTTTTTCTTGTTATAGCTATTTGGTATTTAGTTGTATGTATGTGCCATAATCTAAAAATATATGCCATTATAGTTATTTCCAGTTTGGGGTAATTATAAGTAAAGAAACTTATGAACAATCATGTACAAGTTTTTTTGTGAACAAACCTGTTCATTTCCTTGTGATAAATACCCTGGAGAGTGAATACTGAGTCTAATGACCTGTGTTTCTTTATGTACCTATGTTTTCTTTTTTTTTTAAGAAACTGGCAAACTATTTTTGGATTGCTAAAAAACCAATTCATTGTCTCTACATTCTCATGAACATTTTGCATTGTCACCACTTGTAATTGTAGCTATTCTAATAAGTATGAAGTGTTATCTAATTTCTTTCTTAAGAAAACTCAAACAAAACCAAAAGTCTGTTGTATTTATAATGAGTAAATAGTAAATCTTTCTTCTTCCCATCATTCATTCCACCTTCTCAATATTTTGTGATTTTTCTTTTAATTTAAATTTTTCTTTGGGAAAATTCTTTTAGCCATTCTCATAGAGTGAATCTTCAATGACAAATTTTCTTAGTTTTTCAAGTCTCTTGATTTCTCCATCATTCCTGAAGGTGTCTTCACTAGGTACAAATTCTGCATTGACATTTCTTTTTGATCAGAACTTAAATCATGCAGCGCTGCTTGTTTCTGGCCTCTGTAGTTTTTTAATGAGAAACTCACCATCATTTGAATTATTTCCTCTAAAGGTAAGCTATCTTGTTTTTCTCGCTCTTTTCAAGGATTTTGCTTTTATTGTTCAGAAGCTGGATTTTGATGTGTTTTGGAATATGTTTCTTTTGGTTTTTCCTGTTTGTAGTGTGCTCAGCTTCTTCAATTTTTTGGCCAATAACTTGCCTACTTGGGAATATTTTCATCCATTTTTTAAATGTGATTCCAGTCACATCCATTTTTGGTTCTCTCTTTTGGGATCCCAAAGATCTTTTCTTATATTCCAAGTATAACAAAGCTATGTTCATATATTTTCAAAAAATGTGTTTCCTTTCTGTTGTTCAAATGTGGTAATCTGTTTTCAAATTCAGTGATATATTAATCTTTGTTTTCCATTTTCCTCTTCAGTCCATCCATTAAAGTTGTTTGCTTATTTGTTTGATTATAGTGCTTTCTAAATGATAAAACTACCATTGTTTGTCCCTTCGTCTTTCATTTCTTAGCTGTAATATTCTATTTCTTCACCAGGATTTTCTACTTTTCATTTGTTCCCAGCTCATTTGCAATTGGTCATTGAAGTAGTTTATGATAGCTGATTTAAATCATTGAGGATTCCATCTCAGTGTCATCTCAGAGTTGGCCTCTGTTAATGATCTTTTCTTATTCACATTCTGACTTTTCTCGTTGTGGTATGGCAAGTAGTTTTCTGGGATGAATCTGAACATTTCCAGATACTGTATAATGAGTCTGTGGGTCTTCTTTAGATCTATTGCACTTGT